GATTTAATTTTATACCTTAACACTAAAAGGGATTTGATACTTTATAGTTGATCGTTAAAGTTTAATATCTCATGACAAATTTAATTTCTGGGAATTTCTCTTTCCTTTCTGAAAAAGATAACCCATTTAAGTTATCTTATAAGATTTCATATATGAGATGTAACCCTTTTCATCGGATATATCCATTTATGCGTGGTCGAGATGTTTTACATCGTGAAAGCTTAAAAATGTTAACAAAGATGAGAATGCAACGACCCGTCTGTTTTACAACACGAACTACAATCCATATAAAGCGCACAATTCATCTCAGAATACGTCATGGCCTCATAAATTACGCTTTCTCTTAAAAAACACAAATTGAAACAGAAATTGATATACGCGTTTTACAATGAAGCAAAGATTTTACAACCTATTATACAAATTAAAAAAAATGCAAATGTTTGGATGGCTGGATGTTTGTTTAAAAATATCTCCAGAACGGCTGCATCTCGCTGAAATTTGGCATAGATGTGGAACATAGTCTGGAAGAACTCATAGGCTACTAATTACGTTTTTTTCATCCTACTACTAAATACGTTTACTATACTATTAAAGACTATGTACATATAGAAATATATTACCGTTAAAATAATTTAAAAGGATTGCCTCATTATATGTAATTCGTTTGTAACATCTCTTCTAATGTGAAAGAGTTACAAAAGGTATCTCCTGTTGAAATTGCATGTGTGTACATTTGCCTTTACCAAGCTTCCAGTGTACGTTGCTATTATTCTAACATTAAAATATTGTACAAAACATATTATGTATTGCTTTCTCTGTCTGACGTAGGATTAACATCGCGACAGTACTATCCGCTGTGATTCATACCCAAGTCAGTGGTAAGCTAACAGATTGAGATTGATGTGTACGCGCAAGGGGTATTAAACCGATGGACAGTTTATTTTTTTGTGTTTTAGAATAACTCTCGTTATTATATGTTGTTAACTCGTGAACGCATTTGTAAGGATTTTAGAAATTAATTTATGTTTTACGGTTCTGGTTCGTAGAAAGTTACTATTATATTTATAGGTGACAACGATCTTAGTACATCTTACTATTGTAAGAATTGGGAATGTTTAGATGGATGGATGTTTGTTTAAAGGTATATCCAGAATAGATGAACGGATCTAAAAGAATTTTAACATACATATAGAGCAAAGCTTGGAAGAATACATAGACTGCTAATCATGTCTATTTAAATTCCGCGCGGACGGAGCCGCACGAGACTGTTAGTAGGCTTACAAAGTTGTTATGTTAGAAGTTTAATACACAACATACATGTATTTAAACGGTTATTTTTAATGGAAAAATCGAATCAACAACATATAAGCCGGTAAAAACCGTAAATGCCTGCAGCGTTGCAGCGTTCATCCCCATGCCCTCCCCCGCCCGCCCTGCTACGTTCAAAACATAATTGGCGTACCCTTGCCTTTTACACGGACTTACCATACGAAACTTCCTAGATAGAATTTTAAATAAGATAAAAATTACTTTTAATGTGTGTAGGAACTATTTTAAAACATCTCGGAATAGTTAAAAAGTTTTCCGTTTTTATGAAATGTGTTGTCTTTGATTCAGAGTTTAAGGCTACAAATGACAAAGATATGTATATTGTTTTTATCGTTATGTTAAACAACTCTGTAACGATGAAGCATTCAACTTTATTCTTAAAATCTGGTTACAGTTCTTTTGAAGAATCCTACAAACTAATATTATTATATATAACTTAATAGTAATAAATATTTTCGATTTAAATTAATTCGGTTAAATTTCAACTTGTCTCTTCCAGATACCTATTTCTAAACTCACGCACACCAGTGCACAGCCTCCGGAAAAAGGTCAACAACCTCCCTCCCTAGGAACCTCTCGATATTCGTCAATTTGAATATTCCACCCTCTCGTTTTTAAGGATTAGATTTTTCCACAAAATCCATTACCTTGTACTTTAAGTTTGTTTATATTGAAGCTTAAACGAAAAATGTTCGAACAATAAAGTAGAAATTTGTTATGCATTTTTATATTACAACAGTGTTTCAGCATAAAACTCACTATTACATTAATAGGTATTATACGTACCTAAAGTCAATAATTTCAATTCTAATAATTTATTATTGTTAACTTTTCTCCCTTTTTTCCATATTCTTAAATATAACTTTAACAAAAGCATTTTCCTCGTTATAAGGTTCCGGTGCTCGTATCCGACTCGCAGGACCAATGACGGAAATTGGTTAGAAATGATCCGGAATAACCCCAAGGAGGGCGGACTGATTTGTTGAGTACATCGTCAATTCAGCGAGCATTTATAATTAATGTACTTGGAGAATCTAGATTTTTGAAATTCTTATATCGTCAAGTTAAGCACTTACAAATGTAATATTTGTTCTTCTCTTGTTTCTCTGTTTTATTGTTACGCAAAACAATACGCATGGATTAATGAAGAATTGTAGTGAAGAAGAGTACTTGAACCTAGTTTCAACAATATACCTTCTAACTGGATTGCCTCTGTAGATGTCTTACATTTTATAACAATTGCTGCGTAAAGAATTTTAATGACTTACAAACTATTGTATCTATCAAACAAGCCTCTAGAAGAACAATATACTCCCATTGTTACTCCATTTACAATTCATCTCTGTTTTAATATGAAATTGTAAGAAAAATATAGCTATTACAAGGTCAGGTGTATCATAAGACTCTTGTGTAAAAGGAACTATATTTCTAGAGCTAGACTGGAAGTTCCAAGGTCGCAGACTAACTCACACACATGCGAATACCTCCCTGTACTCACACCCCCACAAGCACGTGTACGCTCTCCCCTATACATGGTAGTCATGGCAACGCAGCATCACTCCACGCCCACAACTCCGGGGGCGAACTCTCAAGATATTACGCCCTACTTCGCTCGTATTGGCGAACCAAAGGGGTGTAGTTACTTTGCGCTTGTGTGAGTGTGCTTAGAGCGGTTAGTCTCGAGAAATTCGCCAATTTCATTTCCCAACCAAATTTCGTGCTCGATGCTCGTCGTTATACCGTGCCAATTATCTGTACGATTACTGGGAATATCGGGAATAGAGAAATATTGTTCTATTATTTCCTAGAACTAGGAGAATAGGTCTTATTTAAGTCAAGCTATTGAATAAAATAAAAATATGGCAACTTTTAAATAATTTCTTGCTTCACGATTATTTAAAACTTGGCTTTTACTGCGATGATAAATTAAGAAAATTTTTAGATTCTTTGCAACTCATGTGCAAATACAAATGATGGAATTGCATGGCAGAGAAGAGCTTGTCTTTTTTTGAATGGAGAAAAATATAGGTACGTAACGAATGCTAACCAAGCACTCGACTCCATTCGCTACATTCACCGGCCGCTCGTTAACAAACCTATTCAATTTTGAAGTATTAGTCGATTGAGGCAACATTTCTCGCGTCCTACCGCCGCGAGTTCCAATTAGCGACTGGAGCTTGTCGCTTGAGTGGCGGTGACGTCACGCGGCGCTTTCATGCGGTTTCAATAACTACCCTCTCCACGACTCCTTCAATAGCCGGCCACTCCACCTGGCCTTCATTAGGGACCTCAATGTATACGTCGAGCTGAAAAGGCGACGGGATCTACTAATTTAAAAAATACAAGTTTTAACGAGTAAAGTTGTTTAGCTAATAGCTAACTCCCACATCGACGTGGCAAAAATGCAATATTACTTTTTCTCAAAATTTTAACGTTATTTGAACAAAGGCCGGTTGCCATCTTTTGTTTGTGGCCGGTCGCGCCATAGACAAATCTTATTATGGAAATATTTTCAAATTAAGAACGCGCTCGGGTCCCGCATTATGCGTCTCGGCTGTCATCATTGTCTAGCCTCTTTTTGTTCGTCCTCGCATGTCGAGGTTTTTCGACCACCGTTTCGGTATTTTTTATTCTCTTTTTATTTATATTTTTTTCGAGCTGTCCCGAGCGTGAATGGTGGGCTTTGTTTGTTCGTGTTTTATTATTAATTAGTGGGGATCCTTTGTTCGTGGTAATTATTCGTCTTAATAAGCGGTTCCTGCTCTTCGAATGCGAACGAGCGCGGGAGAAATTGTCAACGCTTTTGGATTTTAAATGACTGTTAGTGATAAGGCTTTTTAACTGGTTTTTGGTTAATGGTTTCACCACTTTTGTTTTACGCTGCCATTATGTTATTAAAAACTAAAAATAATTATCAGTTTTGATAATATTAACACGTAAATAATTTTTATAATATAATTTTCACGCAATTTGGGTTTGTGGCTACCCAAACTTTGTAAGGCGAAATCCTTGAATGGTGGATGAATTTCTATCGAGTGAGTTTGTGTAGGAAGAGCATTGTCAAGACAATAAGAGTTATGAAACAAAAAGATGACGCCAAGGCGAGCAGGCCGACGGGCTTTCGGGGCCCGAAGCTGAAGCCACAATTAATTTAGCCTACGTGTCGCGCGCGATCCTGTCGTTTATTTCGCATAATAAAGTGCTGAAAAGAAGTCCCAGTTTAATTAGAGGTGAGACACTCGGGGTCGGAAGCGCGCGCCTGAATGCCACTCGTCGGACGCCATTTTGCATAATTGGGCGACGGAGGGTAGGACGAAATTTATACGGGCGCCCGCCAATTTACTTGCTAATGACGCGTCGTCTTCCCATAGACCGACCGGCGGGGTTTTTGTTCGCGCCACGCTATATTTCTATGAGAGTTCTTTTTGTTTTTGACCCGGTTGACTTTTTCGGTCTGTTTTTGTTGTTTGCAATTTTTCACATTTACGGAAAGGGTTTTCTACTGCAATGTTTAGCTGTGAGTGGAATTCGTCACGCTTTCATTTATTTTTTACTGCAAACACTTTGTACACTCCTGATTCTTTGTACTATTTTTTAATTTAAAAATAAACAAATAAATAGATTTAGATTTGTAATTAATATAATATTTTATAACTATGTGTTTGTTGCAGGCCAGCAAGATGGGTCTGCCCGCTGGAGGAGGGCTCTCCCTGTTCTGTCCGGCGGGAGACCTGGGACAGCCGCCCCCCGCGCACATGGGTATCCCCCCACCCTACCAGTTAGATTCCAAACTGGGTAAGTTAGCGTATTTGAATTATTATTCACAACTAAACCACGATGTATGTTTAGGAATTGTAATTTTTTTACGTTCTCTAGCAATCAATCATATTATGACCCAAGCCTATATCTACACTTAAAAATTCTCAGACCAGTTGTACTGTGCACCGTGTGACCTTTAAGACTAACTTCGGATCTGCCAGTTCCCTCAAATCGCAATCTTGAAGGTAGCAAGTATCGCTATCGACGGATTACATCTCGGATGACATTAATTCAGACTTCTTATACTAAATCTACACTAAGCGACTACCTTAGGGACCTAACAACTGACCGGCGGCCACGATTACGCGATTACAAAACGCATACTTCTAGTTGTTAGGTGGACAAATAAACTCATTATTTGGAACACTCTACGGACTTCAAAATCTAATAATTCATCATACATTATTACCTTACATTATAAACACAAAACGAGAAGTGTCTGAAAATATTTTCATACGAAAATATAAGATTCAAAATCATAATTGTAAATGACTGGACTGGGTAGCTTCAAGATTTCCTTGTTATAAGCGTATTGATTTCACGTCAATATTGTGGTCACCTCGTGAGTTACGCTTTGAATCATTGAACGTGTCTCTTAACATTAAAGTTCATACTTTAATAACGGGATAACATCTCAAATTACTATTTCTGTTAATTTGTAATTATATGAAAGTTTTTGTAATACTTGTTTATAGAATTTAACTTTTTATCTTAGTTTCTTGAGTAACTTTAAGTTACCACGTATATTCAAATAAATAAAAAAAAGCTTCGATAAGATTTCTAACCAAATTTCATCAAAATCCATTAAACTGTTCTGGAGATACCTTCTAACAAACATCCATCCATCTAAACTTTCACATTTATAATATAAGTAAGGTAAGCTACATTTTCAATAAAAGTGAATTAGATTTAACGTTCAATCTTGTCAGTATATTAATATTGGTAGCAGTAATTGAATAAATAGTAATCCAGTTGTGTTGTGCCTCAGCAGCGGGGCTAGCGCGGACGCCCATGTACCCTTTCCCGGGGGGCACCTACCCCTACCCCATGCTCAGTCCGGAGATGTCGCAAGTAGCGGCCTCATGGTGAGTATATTTATATTATGTTAAGGTAGCGTTATTCATTTAGTGCACTCAAAGAGCACTGAAATTGCTAAAGAACGCTATCCAAAAATATCAAGAAACAGTATCAATTTCTGAGTACTGTATTGTGTTATTTCTTTGTCGCAAGTTATTTTTTATCACGCTTTATCTAGAATCATAGAGAACAGACCACAGATAATCATTCGGAGAGATTTAACCATAACCACAATAATATAATGACATTTTAGTTACTTCAGTAAGTACCAAAATAAGCGAATTAAAAGATAAAATTATACAGAAATTAAAGTAACACTTTACAATTATCTCATGCGTAGAATGCAGTCTTTAATTGCAGTTGTAATAATTATTTATAATTGTGACGTCACAGTTTATTATAAACTCAATAAAAGAATAAAGGATGATTCAAAACAATTAAGTCGCGTTAAACTGAGCATTTCCAGTATCAGTTTCGATAAACGTAAGAAAATGTGCGACTTGAAACATCTTGTATGTCTAAAGTGCATTGTTTCTGTGGAGAATGGAACGAGCGCTTGTCGACGAAAAGAGTTACACTTCTTAGAACTTTTAAGAGATGTAACCCTTTTCGTCTGTCTCATGTAGTGCGCTTACGTGTGAGGATAACACAAGTGTGCCAATTTGTACCGTAGCTTTTTATTTCACAAATGTACTGAACTGTACGTTGGTAGCAGTTAATGTGTATCGCAGTGTACCTTGATACTTGTGTATGAAACTAGTGACGTCATTTATCACGATTTACTTTTTATTTTATTGAATAAAATTGATACTGTCCGGTTAATTAAAAGATATGAGGGTAAATGAAAAAGAAAACTAGAATATTCTGTGCAATACTATATTTTTAAAAATATAACTTGGAAATGAATATGTTTTTTTTTTAATTCCGCGACAAGGCACACGCCGAGTATGTACCCTATATCTTCGGCGGCCAGCGGATTCCGGAGTCCTTACCCCACCTCGCTGCCAATCAGCAGTTCTAGTCTATCTAGGTAAGTACCATAATAGCTAAAATTGTGTTCTGATTATAGAAATTTGAACGCGTTATAATTAAACTAGCTGTCGCGAGTTAAAAGAAGCGTAATAACCCATGTGTTCTTTCAGACTACATTTTACTAATTTCATTAAGATCCGTTGATGGATCCATCTATCCATCCAAACTTCTACATCTAAACTTTCGTATTTATAATATTAGTCATATATCTTACTAATATAGGCAGCGGAGGTAACAAAAAATGTTTTTAATCTAATTCTGTTACTAATTTTGTTACATTAATTGAGATGTAAAATGCTTCTATATTAAGTAATTGTTTGTATATCTATATGTATTGTTTGTTTTGTGTTCAGTGAGTTATACCGGTTCTCCCCGACCCTGGGCGGTGGGCTGGGGCTCGGCCTGAGTCCGGCCCTGGTGCCCGCGCCGCCATCCAAAGTCGACATCTTCTCACATCATGCGAGGTAAGACAATTTCAAATAATGTATGGAGTTGGTTGTATGAAATACAACAATAAAAGAGGAATAGTGTATAGAATTGGGTCTTATAGTTTTGACATATTTTCGAGAACAAATCTAAAGTTTTTTTTAATGTTTTAATTATCATAGCAATTATCAAGTTTTGGGGTACGAAATTATAAAGGGGAATACCTTTTCATCTTATAAAACCATTGTTGATACTTAGAAACTATATATTGACCTCTAAGGTCACTTAGTTATAATAATGACGTCACATATTTATTCCAATCGAATTCTCAGAAGCATTGGAGGTTAGTTCTCATGGAATTTATCACGTCGGTCACGATGCGTTTGGAGCCGATCTGAGAACATTCTGCGCATTCAAACACTGCCGTATTGGCGATTTGTATACCGTATTGTTAGTGTCCGGGTGCTCTCATTAAGTTTACACAGGACGAAAAAAGTTTTAATTTTTAATAAAAAAAATTCTCTTGATTTTTTTAAGGGACACTATATTAAATATTATTTTCTAAGTAAAATTTTATGGGACTGGCATGTTCAAATTAATGTCCCTAAATGAATAAAGAAAAAATAACCAATTGCTTGTAAATCAATTAAGGTAATAAATGGTTTCCTTAGTTGTAAAAACATACATAACAATTTGTTTGGAAAACCGCAGATAAATGTGTTACTTACCATAATAAACTTAGTATAATTTTAATAAAACATCAAGAGAAGATTTTTTACTTACATGTTTTGACTTGTAACAAAAAATATAGCACATAGTCGAAACAGTCAGCGATCCAGCTGTGTCCCAGCCGTCACGTCACGTTCATAAAGTGACGTGCGACGTCGCCATTTTGTTCCTATTTCCGTGGCACGTCGCAGATTCCAGCCACGCGCCATTAATAACATAGCGCAAACGAGAGGCGCATGCGCACGCACTATCACAGTGCCTAATTACAACGTTCAGTTGGAACGCCTCGATAGAAATCAACGCACGGCTAGTTTCACACGAAGGCACAAAAGTCAGGCAGAGTAGTACACGGTGCGGTAGTGTAACAAAACTGTACTGTACCAAAACAACGAGGATCCCTAGAGTGATACTGCTTTTTAAAAAAAATGTATGGAATTGACAATAAATTTCGACTTTTCATCATGCTCTTTTTGCATATTTCTTCATATAGATTTTCTCGATGTCATATGTTTTGCAATATCGCTAATCGAATACATTGAATACAAGGCTCTGTTATGTCTCAAACAATAGTTGTACTGAACAATCCAACTGCCATACCTTTCTGCACTCGTGTGAAATTAGCATAAACACCACTGTGACATACGCCCTCCGTAACGTATCATTGCGCGATCTTATCGCATGAATATTACACGGATAAACTCTGCCGACCCCCGCTTATCGCAAGATTGAAGATAAGCGTACCACCCCTAGTAGCACGGATTGACAGATGCGTTTTTGAAAATCGTATTAGGGGTCTTATTAAAAATTGTTTTCGCTTTATTCATTTTACTGCTCCTATTATGTTGTACAATAAACGATTTAAGCTAATTTTAGGCTTGGATTTAAAAAGTATTATTAACTAAATAATGTAAGCTCTTCATACAATCATATCTAAATAAATTACTAAAACAATTTAGACAACTTTGTTTGCTCGAATTAAAAAAAAACAAAATAAGTATGTGTTCTTCTAGACTATGTGTTCTACTAGATCAGCCGTTCTGTAAATACCTTCAAACAAACATCCATCCATCCATCTAAAGATTCGCATTTATAATGTTAGTAAGTTAAATAAAAAGCAGCTCTTTAAGGCATAAATTCGAAAAAGAAAATTAAAAAAAAATGAATAAATAGTATCCTATGTCCGTCTCCTGGTTCTAACCTACCACCAATTTTCAGCCATATAGGTAAAGCCGATCTTGAGTTATAAATAGTGTAACTAACACGAGATTCTTTTGTATATATAGATTAAGATGTGCACTCTTATATTTATATCATTAACATATTATTCAATAATAACTAAAATATAAGAATATTTTCTACATAACTCTTTGAACATAAAGGATTTTCTTGTCAACATTTTAACAAGTGATTTCACAATGTTGTACGTATTTAATTTGTAAGCAATTACCCCATGATCCGAGGAGCGTGTTACCAAAACCGAGGATGTGTTTAACTGGAAATGCAGAATGGAATCTGTAATCTTACACCTTTCAACGCGTCGTCGTTTCGTACAAGATGCATCAGTCAAAAATATAAAATCATTTTGTTGTGTGGTCACAGTTGCAGCGGTTTTATTGCAACATTACTCAGTGTGTATATTTATGGCTGAAAATTGATGAGGAGGTAACTAAGAGCCTGGAGACGGACATAGGATACTATTTATTCAATTTTTTTCGAATTTATGCCTTGAAGAGCTGCTTTTTATTTAACTTACTAATATTATAAATGCCAATGTTTAGATGGATGGGATGAGTGTTTGAAGATATCTCCAGAACGGCTGTTTAATCTTGATTAAATTTGGCATACATATAGAATATAGTCTGAAAGAACACATAGGCTACACTAATTAAGTTTTTATATATCCACGCGGACGGAGTCGCGGGCGACAGATAGTATTTTATATACTCTTATTGTAAAGATTAAAATGTGTTAATTAAAAAAAACATAATTAGTAGTCTATGTGTTCTTCCAGACTAAGTTCTATATGTATGGCAAATTTCAGCGAGATTAAACAGCCGTGTTGGAGATACCTTCTAACAAACATCTAAACATTTTTATAATTTTTGCTTTACTCTGATCGCTTTCAAATTATTTCTATAAAACTATCCATGTACATAAATGGTCATAAATCTTGGCTATAGTTTTCTTTCAAATTACACTGAAGGTAATTTAGACTAAATTTTTTAAATGGCCCATTTAAAAGACAGTTATGAAAGTAGTAAATATAAACTCACACTCGCCAACACTGGGGCAGAACATTCAAGAACATAAAAGTCCAGGTACAATCATGTAAATAAGGCTGCTTGAGGAGAAATTTAATTAAGATGATATATGAGACGCCTCGTAACGGGCTTGTGAGATGTACAGTCGCGAACACAAGCGCGCGCGTACAGATTCTCAGTGAGATAAAAGATTTTTTATGTGTCACATCACGCATAAAATAAGAACTGAAATATGCAAATGATGTAACGAATGCCTTTCATTTGTAAAGTTTATACGAGATAAATATTGTAATTAATAATACGAATTTTAAATTTAATTTAAAAAAAAAGACAGTAGTCTGGAAGGATTTTTTTTAGATATAAATATTATCTTGTGTTTATTCTATTGTATATAACAAATTTGCTCCATGTTTACGTATATTTTATCTTGAATTCTTTAGTATGTTCTGTCTTAATATTTTTAATTTATTAATAGTTTTGTGTGCGATATTACTTTACATAATTACCGCGCCAGCGCCTCTGAATACCTCATTTGGAGCGCATGCGCATTGTGCCCGGGATTTTCGTTTCTCTGGTTTCTTTTTAACCTTTTACCCATTTTTAAACTCGCCATCGCATTAAGGAAGTCGTATATTCGAACTTCCAAACGTTCCCCGAACTAATTTAAAGAATAAAAATCTATATTAGATATATAGATATATATAACAATATATTTTATAGGTTCTATTTCGGATGCGAACATCTCAGGCAGGAAGTCGTTTTTCACATGTTTCGTTTGTTTTTCAAACATTGTGATTATTAATTTGGTTACGCGTGCTGTACAGTATATTTTTGAAACTATGCGCGGGATTCCTTTTTTCTCTTTTTATTTGCATCGTCGACACATCTGCTTATGTCGCATTTTTTTTTCTTAATGACTGTAATTTAGACGATGTTCTCTTGTCATTGATGATTAACTCGTGTTTAATATTTTCGTTTCTTTAACACTGGTTGTTAATTAATTACAGTGTTGAAAGGAGATTTATATCAAATAGTTTTCTTATTAATATGTTAAAGGAACATATTTATAAATTATGACGACATCGGAATGGATACAATATTTTTTAACCTATATCAAGTTCAACTTTTTAATAATCTAAAGAAGTATTGTTTAAAAATCTTTATATGTAAATTGCGACGTGACAATTTGTTAATAAAATGTAACAGTCCGTTTACTGTCTAGTCGCAGTAGGTCAGTGGCCAGACTTCCGTCAGAGCAGCAATGAGATGATTGAATGCAGTTTAAAGTGTTATCCATGGCTCAAGGTCGGAGAGAACTAATGTGAAAGTAAAATACAACAAATAATAAAACGTATTGAAAAGACGGACGGAAAGAAATGTT